CCCCCCCCCTTCGAATTTGCAAAAACTTAGCTGGTCAGCTGGCGCTCTGATAATTTGGGGACAATTTTGGGTCCGTCCTTCATGCCCCCCTATAAATGCTGGTACCCCCTTGGGCCCCCACTGAAAAATCCTGCCTACCACTGGAAACTGGCGGAAATATTGTTAAAAAGTTGAATGTTCAAACAACTACAGGGTGAGCACACAAAAAACGCATCCCAAACGGCAGGACCAATCTTTGAATGAAGTTCTGCATGTAGCACTTTCAAAATCCAAGATGTGAAAGCCCAGTCATTAAGCTTTCTTTTAGTACAAGAATCATTCAGATCACTAATGTACTTTTCAAGTTACGGCATTTTGAACAAAGTTCACCGTTTTAAAGTTCTGTCCAAGGTTCACAAAAAAAGTAAGTGTTCTTTCAGCAAAATGAAAACAATTCTCATAGGGATGCATAGAATTGTTTTCGTTTTGCTGAAAGAACACGTACCTTTTTTGTGATCCATGGACAGAACTTTAAAACAGTGTTTGTGTTCAAAATGTCGTAACTTGAAAAGTACATGAGTGATTTGAATGATTCTTGTACTAACAGAAAGCTCATTGATTGGGCTTTCTTAATTATCCAAATTTTGAAAGTGCTAAAGGCAAAACTTCATTCAAAAATTGGACCTGCCATTTGGTATGCCCTTTTTTTTTTACTCACCCTGTATACATGTACATTGTACCTTGAAAACTTACTGTACCTATGGTTTCCATGAAATCAGGGCCTACTGGTAGCTGCGAGTCATTGTGCAAAATCTGTTTCGATACAAAATTTGGGTCCTCAAAAATCACGCTGTTTGAGAGCTAACCATCATTCTAGACAGGGGTTTCTTTTTGAAAAGTTGTTTTAACATGATTGCGCAGGGATTGCATTGTTTGTGTACATAGTTTAAAACTTAAACGTGGGAACTGATATAGTGATACCGGAACCGGTATATCACAAAGTGAATTGTGGCTTACATGAATTTTCTAAGTTGGACGGCTTTATTATATATTTTAAACAGCAAGGCAAAAAATAAAATCGCTGCCGCACCACTTAGATTTACAGTGTAAACAAACAGGGTTTTTTTCCAGCATTTTCTCGGCAAATGTAAGACATTGCACTATGTGCATTTTCTTTGACCTATTCTAGACCTTTGAAATATGGTTATGAAACAATATGAAACATTTAATGTTGATGAACTCCAGATGAAGTTTACTAGTACATACATGTACATGTACAAGCATGGTACAAGTGTGTAGGCTGGAAAAAAAAGTACCGGTACCAGGCACTAAAGACGTCAAGCTGCACTATGGCCGAACGTCATAGTGCATTGTTTTAATTGTCTCTAAATTAAGGTAATTACTCCTTACTCAAAGAGATAACTGCACTTATTGCACATATGCTGGTAAGGTATATTTTGTCATACAAAGCAAAACCAAGGGAGAATTCTGAAAAATAATACGTAATACTGTATCAACAATCAGGCAAACATATGGCTAAAAAAAAATCCCCAACATTATACATGTACAGCCACACAGACATGTGTACAAAACCTCATGAGCAAGAGCAAATTACATATTCGGTTGCCTTTGTGTGTATTAATATCCCATTGACGTCAGTGGCAGATAACAAATTATCAGATTATTGGACTTTACTATTTATAACCGCCATATCTGTAGTTATGAAGGAACTCACATCACAAAAGATTGGGGTTTTTTTAAGATGTACCGGTATGTATGTTTTGTCGTATCTGAATGAATTACATGTAGGACACATGAATTAATGAAATGTGAAATGAAAATCCAATGCAATCAAGTAAAGATCTTATAAAACCTCTGCAGCTTCATTGCCCTTGAAAATCTGATGCTGTATAGGTTTTGAAGGAAATACATGCCATGTAAATTGCTGTAACCCTTTTAATATGCCTGTTTCCGGCTTAGACTGCTAGCTTGACAGGACAATCTGCTTCTCTATTGATTCCTGCTGAGCCCAACTCCCAAAAGCTGGTAGGCAAGGGGTACCCTTCACACTTACATACATGTACACCCACGTTTGTTTATGGTGTGAATCGAGGATTTTCTTTTGTTCCTCTTCCCTTTTCCTTTGTTTATACTCTTAACTTTTTTTGCAACAGCTCTCATTGGTTTTGTACACATTTTCCAACCAAGGAGTCCTCAATTTGGTTCCTGTCCTCAATTCATCAATGATGTTGCACGTGTGTGTCCTCGATTTACACCATAAACAAACGCACTTGCACACAGCCTTACCTGTGGAGAAGACCTTGTTTTCGCTTCTCTTGTTCTCCTTTGCTCCTATTGAAATCTCAAACTCAAGAACGTTTCCCTTGTGGGGAAGGTAGATTTCTAAAGACTTCCTTATGGGGTCTATTGTTCAATTGTGTTTTCTACCCCATAGGGAATCCTGTACAGGCCTACCGGTACCTTACACACATGCACCTAGTGCAGACATTCCTTTGTCTTTGTGTAAGTTCAGAAAAACCGGACAAAAAAAATTCTTTTACTTGCACTGTGAATACTCTTTCAACCCATTTTTTTATCATAATTTCCTTGAGTGTTCCTCTTCATTCTGCGACAGATAACCCTCACCCAAAAATGCATCTAAACCTGTTTTCCCAGAGAGAGGGAAACCTCGTGTGGACCTGGCTTAGTCCACAGAATTAGGTTCACACAGCCAGCATTGTGTGGACCCGTTTTATTTTCAGGTCCAGACAAAGATGGCAAGGTTGGCACAGGCATGCAAAGTCACTTGAAACAAGACTTTCAAGTCAGGACACTCTATGAAGTTTCCTGAAGCAATTTTTCCCTCATCACCTCTGACTTCCTGGGAAAGAGTGTTGCATCTTCGGCTCCAGATGAGACCCTAGCGGTTAAACTGGATACCCTTGCCCTTGGCTTACTTTGAACAAGCTTACATTGAGGCCAAGAGTATGGGAAAAGGGCTTGGGGGCCTTGTGAAGTTTAGGACACCTCAGTTCTTTTATTATTAAAAAGATTTTGTCGCTCCAAAATTACATCTGCAACCTCTGGCAATCTTCTCAATTATACATGGATTGACCCAATTTTTTTGAATTTTGAAAATGTTCTTGGGAGGAAATGAGATTTTCTTACCTGATTTTCCAGTAGTGAGCATGCGAATCAACACCCCATGTTATTTCCCTCAAAAATCAAAGCGCTGCTCTCTTTCCACAAAGTTAATGTTGCGGATATTCAAACATCGTCATCTACATGGACTAAGGCATGGAGCTATAATAAAGGACTTAAGCGAGTCCAAGGATTTGCTTCTAAATGGAACTTTTCATCAACCAACCAGCGACGGGGGGCGCCCAAAACCAGCTTGGTCACTGTCGCCATATTTGTTTTCAATGCTTGCGTTTTGTGTTGCTTACAACATAATTTCCCTCAAAATTCAAAACCCTACCCTCTTTCCACAAAAAGTAATCCTGCAGATATTCAACACGGTGTCATTGTCATCTACTGACCCGGTAAGTTAGTCCAAAAAGTCAAAGTGGATTTTCGTTCTATTATAGGACCGGGGTCCTAAACTTCACAATCCTGGATTTGGTACTTTACCGGTACATATCCCCCAAATGGCTGGTTTGGGGCTGGATTTGGATGTTGTTTCCCTAATATGCAGCCGTGGTCAAGCCCCTGCAGCAGTAGAGGGCGCGACCAATAAGATAAATCTTGGTAACTTTGGCGCTTGGACCCGAGCAATTGCAAGCACACCTAAGTATGATACATGTATTCAAGCTAAAGCAGTGCTCACCAGAAATTTTGGAGCTGAATTTTCGGCCTGACTAGGCCTTCATCGATGAAAGCCTAGAGTCAGGCCGAAAATTCAGCTCCAATATTCCTGGTGAGCACTGCTTTAACTTATTTCCATCCTATATACTTATCTACAGTGCTATGCAGTTCTGCTTCATTTTATATTCAAGCTAAACGTATTGTGTACACGGTAATTTCTTATATAATAATGAACTTTTATTTTGTAAAATTTTTCTATAAAATGTCCGCAGGAGAAATCTCTTAAATGGATCTTCTTGGGTAATATCCTCTTTAAAGGGCCCACGTTATGTAATTTTTTTAAAGCAATCCTTGAAAATGCAGCATTGTGTCCCATTTATCCTTATTTTAAATTTTCCTTTTGAATGCCATTTTTAAGGGCTTTTTGGTGCCTTTTTGTTTGTTATGCTAATGACAACTCCATATTCTTGAGCAAAAGTGTGATGTCATTTCTGGCAGAAACCTCAATGTTACAAATATTTCAGCACCTAAAATTGCCAGAATTTCGAATATTACAATGTATGTTGTCGTAAATTTTCTTTTCTTTGGTGATTCGTTGTTGTTTCGGCACATGACAGTAAGCCGATGGGTAAAGTTTTTCTCACAAATGTTTTCAATGAGCAAATTTTGGGTTCAGAATTTGAAGAAAAAAAACAACCTAAAGTGAACAGTGTCTTCCTGAAATGACATCACAGCATCAGCGCCCTCATTTGTCAGGAAAAACATGGACAATTTTAAATGTTTAACAAAGTGCACTTTTCGAAAAGATTTATTCAAAAGGGGTGACAAATAGACTTCATACATTTAACCAGTTCGCACCAGATGACGTGTATACGTAAAGGTTTTGCAATATTCAGAACGGATGACGGATTAACAAGCAGCAAGCGAGGCCGGAAATATGAGTGTGCTGCCCGAGGGTGATGGCTTCAACCAGCTTGGCTTGAGGTCGAGTGAATTAATCCTGCGCCTTGTTCCGTTCTTGTTAAAATAATCCCGGCGCGAACTGGTCAAGAGGAGTAGAAAGTCGCACAAAATATAGTAACAATTCATGTCATGAACCCTTTAAGCATCAAAATCATCTCCTGTATTAGCGTATCTGCTTAGCATCACAATATCAAGGGAGCCGACCAAGTACTCTAAAAGGTCAAAAAGAAAAAAGGTTGAGCTTGTACTTACAACATGAAATCCTGCTCCCAGGAGGGCCAGCTTCCCTTCACAGCCACCGTGGTCGACTTGACATTCTGCAGCTTAAGGGTCACGTAGGAGTTGAATTTATCTGCCGGAGCGGAAAATCAGAGATGGCAGTTACATGTACAGATCCGATATGGGTCATGAAAAAGGTACGCAGCGCCGCGGATCCATATTACATGGGCTCATCAATTTTACATTAAGTGCAACTGGATGAGGCCGGTCTGGGGTTTTTAAAGGGACCGCCGCCAGGTTGATGTTAACAGCGGGGCCATGTACTATGCATCAACAGGAACATGTCTAGATTTGTTACCAATTTGAGCAATTCTACAAATGATGCACAGACAGCTCTGTATGCTTCAAGCATTAATGCCAATTCCATGATTCCTTCCGGGAGTCATTATTCCCTACAGTCAATAAATTGGATGCTGTAAGAGCTTGGGTTTCTCCCAAAGCATTTGTCCCGAAACTCTGATTCTAAGTTCAGTGTTGTTTCTTCTTGATTCTGGTTGCTGGTGTCGAGTCCCCCAAGTCTAACGAGACAGACGGTACCTCTGGCATGAAATCAAAAGTAACTGACAAACTTATTCTTGAAAAGCATACTTGGTTTAAAGATACCGGTAGTAATGGCACTAAACTCCATGTGAAATTATTCTTTTTGGCATGCTGTCATTTTGAAGAAACAATAAAAGAAGGCCATTTCCAAAGATGCGTCTTTATAGACGCACTTTTGGAAATTTCCGTTAGTAGTTCATTTTTAATTCAGCAAAGCCGTGAAATAAGTACATGCAAGCATTAACACGACACACGCGGGTGCACGCATGCTATAATTCGTCAGCATGCTATAATTCGTCAGTTCAGTGTGTGACATCCCGTAGCTGCAATCAACTGAATGAGAACGTGTCCCGGACGCAGATTTCGGGCGCAATTCAAAACATACCTCAGCAACTTATGTATTGAATTGAAATCCTAGAATTACCGGTATGTGTTCTCGGAATATACAGTATTCACTGAGCTAAAACTTCATCAGGTTAGTCGTTAAGCAGCCGACTTTAGATTGTGAGCACTTTTGTTGCTTCAAACGAAAACAATGCACAAATGACAAATGAAATGTATACTCTAAGTTTTACTCATTAGCACAAGTGTGTCATACATTGTAGTACACTGTATATCACTCCTTGAGGAAATTGTCTTACTCCGATAAAACTGTTTTACTAAAGTTAAGAATCCACACTTGCGATTGTATTCTCTGACTTAAACCATTGCGTCAAAAGCATTGTCATTAACGGTCCAATTGAGTGGATATGAAAAGACTAGCTGCATCATATCGTGGCCAGTTAATTAGGCTTAACTACATTTAAGGGAGTTTTTTTGATGCTCTTATGTAATCAAGCTTTGTGTAAAGGAAATTTGCATTGTGGCGTGTTTCTGTTTGTGTATCGCCACACCCGTACAACCAAGTCAATTTGTGTGTAGACTCCTTCACGTCAACATGGATAGTTCAGATGACGATTTGCTTCTGACTCAACTGCTTTTCGCAGTGACAGAGGAGAATGTTTCAAATGTATAGTAGTACAAATGCATTTAGGCCTATGCGTTAAAAAAAAGAATGCAATTTAACGTGTGATAAGTTTAATGAGATCTACACGGTTGTATATTTTTTAAAGTACAAGTTCAAAGTGTAGATTCGTAATTCAAAATCCACACTTTACTAAAGATTCGTCGTTCCGAATCCACACATTTTGAGCAGTGTTCAACAGATTCGTACATGTAGTACAGAATCCACACTGTTAACAATAGTGTGACATCTAGCAATGGTTTTCTTGACATTTAGGAGACTCATGTTGAGCTCCCCTACCAACTGACCAAACTGATCAATTCTTCTGTCGGTGTGAGTTGTTGTGCATTTCAGGGGCACTCTAAAAAAAACAACCAAAAAAAACATAAGCCTGGTAAATAACTAATTACAGACCACTTTTGATAATCTTGATTATCCCTTGCGATTGCCGCTGCTGCGTAATCTGTTCTTGGGCCGTTCATCGGTGACGAGGTATTGCTTTACGCTATACGAATCCCACCGCGGGCCAAATATTGTGCCCAGCCAAGCACAAACGGGAAGATCTTTTTTTGCCAATCCGCAGGCATCCGGGAGACGACATTTTGTGCTGTGTCCGTGGAAGGTTCGGAACGAGGGGGGGGGGGGTGGTTGTTGATAAAATTGCCAGCTAATACCTTGCACCCAATTTAATTACTGTCAGTCTGATCGGCTTAGGTAGGCCGGCATGTTACCAGGGTTCCCCTGTGGGGATGAAGGGGATGGTTATTATGGTTAATGCTGGCCCCTCCCATTTACTTAAACGAGACGGCAGCTCTGTGCCATTCCCATGAATAATTCACCATGCGCTGTACAGGTACATCAGCAGCATAGAAAGCTGATGAGTACATTGTATGAATCATGGAGAAAGATTACAGACAGTGCTGTACAGTACTTAAATTAACTTGTATAGATGTTCTCAATTGTGAGAATACTGACAGCCGAAGTGCACATTCATGAATGTGAACTCATTGTAATTTCTAGGCTGGTATTAAAGGTATGCATGTACCGGTACAACTAAAAAATTGAAAGTATAAAATTATTATGAAATACCTTACTTGACTGTAAGTAAATGCCTTACTTGACTGTAAGTAAATAATAGTCTTAAGTATTGTGTCAAATCGTTGCACCTGGAATGCTGTCATTTTCAAGAAAAGAGGAATTTTGTATCATTTACCAATGATGGTTCGGCCAACCATCATTTAAAAAAACAACAGCTTTTTAAAAATACTACCCCCAATTAACCAAATGTTAAAGTTAGTCCACATTTTGTCTGCAATTGGTAACATACCAGTGAATGATTTTCTAGTTGTTTTCGGGGAGGATGGGGGCCCTAATGTACTATTTATACACATGTACATTAGTACATGTATGTTCATGGTGCTACCACAATGACTTTCCACATTGCAAAGCTTCAAGTCTTAAATACGCATCCCTATGTCATGTATGTACATGTATATGTACACATTTCAAAAATAGGGTTGGTCGGTCGGAAAATCTTTATATTTTGCCAACTGTTTTGTGCTGATTGAATGACGTAATCAATCATGTTGTTCATGTACATGTACCGGTACCATGCTTATTGCAAGTTCTTACACTTGTCCAAGTCTATACAATCTGCAGCCCCATTATTTCCATTAATTACACGTATCTGCCTTCATTTCCGCTTTCTAATTCTCATCCGCATGACGGCTTTCATTCATCCTCATGCATTCTACTCATGGTCAGCCTAATTGCTCAGCTGGTCAGCGGTATCCAGAAGCCACATCGGTCATTTCCATCCGGTTCATTTGCGAGTTATTTGTCATCCACATCACTTCTTTAAAGCCGGAGTCCATCATTTGCAGCTATCCAAAAAGTAACTGGCATAATGATTGTTGAAAAACATACTTGGTTGAAAGATAGTAATGGGACTAAACTGTGAAATTATTCTTTCTGGAAAGCTGTCATTTTGAAGAAATCAACGAAAGAAGGCCTTTCCAACGGTGCGTCTTATAAAAGCACCGTTGGAAATTTCCATTAGTAGTTCGTTTTTTTTCATTCGGCGAAGCGCGCAAGCATTGACAAGACGCACACGTGCGTGGTTGCTATAATTCGTGGGATCGGTGCGCCACCTCGCATAGCTGCAATCGGTTCAGTAAGAACGTGTCTCGGACGCTGAATTCAAGCCCAATTTAAAACAAGATTCAGCAACTTTTGATTTGAAATCGAGATCCTAGAATGTTGTTTTTCTCTGAAGCTGAGCTGAAACTTAATCAGGTTAGTTGTTCAGCACCCTTCTTTAGATTTTGAGCACTTTTGTTGCTTCACACGAACAAAATGCACAAATTACAAATGATGGACTACATGTATACCTTTAAGGGGCAAATTTGTGACTTTCTGGGGGATCCAACGTTCACGTGTACAGAGCCACACTATGATCGCCCGATACATCTGTGCATGTAATTATGCAAACCAGCCAATCAGAGCTGCCTATGGAATTTTAAAGGGCCCATGTAATGTTACAATTTTTTTAATGCAATATTTGAAAATGCTCCTTTGTGTCTCACTAAATCTTATTTTCAAGTTTCATTTTGCCATTTTTATGGGCATTTTGGTGACTTTTTGGTTTTTATGCTAATGCAAATTTCCATATTCTTGAGCAAAAGTGTGATGTCATTTCAGGCAGAAACCTCAATGTTACAGCTATTTTAGCACCAACATTTGCCAGATTTTTGGATATTTTGCTGTCGTAAATTTTCTTTTCTTTGATGATTCGTTGTTGTCTCAGTACATGACGGTAAGCCAATGAGCAAAGTTTTCTCACAAATGTATTCAATGAGCAATTTTTTGTTGACAATTTGAAAAATTGAAAATTTGAAAAATGTAAAATTCCATCCTATCTAGAATCAGAGAACTTTGCTAAAGAGTTTCTATAAAACAGTCACTCCTCTGGGAAGTGAAGACATTTACCCCTACAGAAGATTTTTAAAAATATATTAAATCCATCAAACAAAAGAACAAATCGTTAGCCTGACCAGTTGATTTCCGCAGAGAGTTTAATCAATATAATGTGTCAAGTCTTCATCTTAAACCACAAGTGGGAGCACTTAACCCCTAATGAATTTTTTTTCTACCACAGCTCACCTCTAAAAAGAAGAGAGAAAAAAAAAGGTGCTTTGAAGATTGTGAAAAGGAACAAATGCGCTTCAGGGTTCCACAACCAATAAATTAATGCAGTCCCCAAAGGTGGGCAGATGAAGTTAAAGTGCGACCGCTGGACAGGCAGTGCGTGTACACGCTCTCACACATGCAATATGAACTCACTCCCCAAAGGATCCTTGCAGTTATAAGGTATAGCCATCTCAAAAAGGCTGACGACTGCCCATTATGTCTGCAGACAGGCGTCATTGGCCTAATCAACAATGATTGACATAATAAATAGCGGGCAGTCGTTGAAAAAACACTTAAGTATGTGTACCCCAAATGTAATCGAGCACTGGGGGAATTCTGAG